AGAACTTGGTTACACGAAAGGTTGTTATAAAACTATGTTGGAAACCGCATTTATTAGAACTAAAAAAGCACAAATGGCTATATATTTTCTCAACTCTTTGTTATTTCTCTTTGCTCATATGTTCCATAAAACCCCTCTTTACTAAAATTGAACTGCGTGTCGATTTTTTATAATTATTTTAAGCTGTGTTACTGTTGATTATTTACTAGGCTTAAAGACGGCTGAAAGGTCTTAAGATTAACAGAAAAAATAAACTATTTTAATTTAATGTAATACTTTTGAAAAAAAACTAAAATTGACTAACTAGAGTTTAAAAGTTGTCTCCCATTTCTAGATAAACAATTTATTGAAGGGTGAAAAATAAACAGCATTTTGTCTTTATGCATCCGGTAAGATAAAGTTATTGTTTTGTGTACCTTTATATAAGCGAAGAGTTAATTAAAGCACAACTATGAAGGAACAGTTAATAACGTTGTGGAAACCTGAGTCTTGAAACATAAGACCACAACTGTTCTTTGAACTAGCGTCGTCTGAGACAAGGTCTCCATCAAATTCCCCCAGAAACCTACAGAAAACTAGGGCTTATATTTACATAGTTATTCGCAATGGAGTGTACATAAAAACATTTAATCTGATTTTAAAAGTAAAATGAAGTTTCCATTTTAAAAACATAAACCACATTTTTAAAGGGTGCCATTTTAAAAATAAATTATATCCACGAAAATCTAAATTTTGTATCGTGTTAATCCACATTAATCGAAAACCTGTTTCAATAAGTGAGATTTTCTAACAAACATTGCTATTTTCAAATGCATTTATTTAAAGAACTACTTTATACTAATTTGAGTTCTAGTCCTGATTAACAATCTTGTTTGGATATTATATATATTTGAATTAAAAACAGTATGACTACGACAAAGGATCTTTAGGTTATAATAACAATTTACAAAATGAAATAATTTCTTAATCATATTATGGATATAAATCGTATTGAAATGGTATTATTATGGCTACAAACAGTAAGAATTTTATTGGTATCCCTATAGTTTGGGCAAATACTTACAGTATTTAGTATTACATATCATAAAACAATCTATGTAGATATACCAAAACATTAAAATTGAGCCTGGTCAATTTAGGAGTGATGCTTTGAGCTGAATATTTCTTAACGAAAAAAAATTCCATTTTGCACCAAACCATATATCAAACATGAATAGTTAACACAGTTTTTATTTACTTTTCTTTAGAACAACATGAAAATTTATATTGTTTACTATTCTAAATACAACATTTTAAATATAAACTCCTTGTATATACAAGAGACTTTTTTTTATTTCACTAATAAAACTACCGTTGCGTTTTTAGAACCAAGCTCAATACCTTGCTTATAAAGAATGCATAAATAGTCCTACAAAGATAAAAACAATTTGTAATTACACTCAATAATTTGTAAAGACACGATTGGTATAATTTATTTTCAAGTTATAAAAAATTATAAATAAACGTATCATGGTATGATAGCTGAATTAGAGCAACAGTATCCATGTTTCAAGAGGAATAATCTGTAAATAGTTTGAGTTCTTCGGGAGCCCAAACGGACACATCTCAGTCAAGATAGTTTAGTTAGTTTCAAATAATGTATCTAATTTTCCTGTGTGAACTCTTGGATTTATAAGAGATTCATAATTCTAGTTGCCCTTATTTAAATTAATTTGAGTGCTATTCCCAACACGTTTAACTGTACTATTTTATACATATATTTGGTCTATATGTTTGGGATTTTAAAAGTTTAGGCCTATAGCTTAGATATATATTGTCTTATACAGCAGCAATTTTCAGTATGACTATCTTTTATAAATATTGCAACAAAGCAAATGTTCATAAACTATTTGACATAGTGTTAAATTTCACCTTGGGATTTTTATTTAACATATTTATCTATTCTATGTGAGTTGCCAATTTTATTATGTGCCCAAAAACCTGGTACGATTTGACAACAGCATGGCCCGTAAAAATATATTTTCTGCTTTATCTTTCTTTATGTACGAACGATTTAGTTATGTATTTTGCACGGCTTTTTAGGTTTTTAAATTACTGAAAAATGTAATGTGTCAAGGAGACAGCTATGTCTTGAAATATAAAATAAGTATTTTTTTAATAATGTAAAGTGTGTTTAAAAGCTTAGTTACAATTAAACATACAGGATGACAAAAAAGTCTAGAAACGGCTTGATATCTTTTTGACTAAATTCGTTAGAAAAGTCAACCCTTTCACATTAACTTATAAGTATGAAAACTACTTTTTGCAAGCATTACCATTTTTTTAACTTCACCAGGGGACGGCCCATGAGGAGTAGGTACATAATCTTTAGTGTAAGCATAGGTTGATATGCACATCATTTTAAAGGTCTGGTCAAGTGGAGTTCATTGCCGGAAACCGCGACAAAAAAGGTTCATCCGTTACAAAATGGCGGCATTTCAAAGTTCTTGCGGAATATACCTGCACAGGCCTTCATAGTCAAAATTAGCCAGGAAATCTGAAACCCGGTTAAATTTATTTTGAAGATTGAATAAACTTAGTCTATGAGCGAGTTGACTTTAAAATACGATTTCAGCTCTCAAGATAATGTTTAATACGAGTATTAACCAATACTAAGGCCTGTAAAGGTATATTTCACAAGAACTTTGAACAGCCGCCATTTTGTAACGGATGAACCTTTTGAGACGCGGTTTCCGGCAATGAACTCCACTTGACTAGACCTTTAAAATGATGTGCATACCAACCTATGCTTACTTTAAGATTATGTACCTACTCCTCATGGGTCGTCCCCTGGCAGAAGTAAAAACATGAAAATACTTGGAAAAAGTAGTTTTTATACATGTAAGTTGATGTGAAAGGTTTGACTTTTCTAACGGATTTTGTTAAAAAGATATTACGCCGTTTCCAGACTTTTTTGCCACCCTGTATTTACCTACGTATATGTTGTAACAATTTTAGAAATACTTTATCCGATTTTAAATTTGGAGAACTGGTTTAAGCTAAATGTATAGAAACATTTTTTAGCGCAATGAGACCGGGTCTCCACTATGATTTCACTGTTAGTCGGACGGCAAAATTTGTATTTGGCAATACACATTAGTTTATAAAAACATAAATACATTTGATACATTAGCCCACGTCTTGATTTACATTAATTTGAAAATTTTCATATTAATATTACACATTCAATTCTAACCTCAACATGTCTACAGCAAATTATTGTTTTCATGCGGTGCTTAAAAAACACATGTTACTGGTAGTGTCTACCTTTTAGTATTTTGAATATAGTATGTTTACTGGCCAGACAAACTTACAACCAGACATATACTAGACGGAATTACTGAGGTAATTTTAAATAGATTAAATAGCAGTACGAAATTAGTAACAGAAATTATATTGTATTTGATAAATTTATTCATTTTTCCTTTCAATCACTAACCACGTGAAATACTGTTAAAGTATGATTATAATAAAACATGGGATCAAAATACGAAGACTGCCTTATATTTGATGGCAGGTTCCCTGTAGTCTATGTCGTTAGTGTTGAGGCTTGAGAGACAAGTATCAAAATCATATCATGTATCGAAGTATTGAACCTTATATTAAAACAGTAACATCAACCGGTCATTGACTTGAACGTTTGTTTTTCGAATTGTTTATTGAGTAAAAAATAAATAATCACTAAAGTATTCTAGTCGAAAACTGTAATGATTACTGGTTTTTAGTGGTTTGGTGTAATGTATTTTGGTGAACAAATTTGACCAAAATAAAAATGTAATCAACTCTTATAAAAACTCTTTTATAAAAATAAAAGCTAGTAAAAGTAATAAAGACAAAAAAGTATATAAAAAAACATTACTCCAAAATTTGTTTTAGGTTGCCTAATATTACGTTGTTAATAAGATTGTAGACAAAACTACCGAGTAATTTGCAGATAAATGTAATAATAAAAAAAACATATTTTAGAGTATACGTTGGATACAAGGAGCATACGTTTTTTTAATAAATACTTGTGCAACATAAAGTAAAAGTAATACACCAGGATTAAGGGTAGTATAATATTTTTCACTCTCGTGAAATATTAAAAAACATTGTCAAGCTAATAAAATATAAATATGTTTTACGAAAAACAGGTAGTAAATCATGCATTTACGTTATCAGCTACATAAACCCTGTATTTATTACATTTATCTCCACCCAGTATGTAATATAGTGAGAATTTAGTAAAAACAAGTTAATCAAAAGGTGTATGTAAAATATTTTAAAAACGCGTTTAATTATTTTTTAACATTCTTGTAAAAAGGAAGAAACCTTATTTTCCGAGCCACCTTAACAAAATAAAGATAATGGTTTGATTTATTTTAGTTCACATAATTACTCTAAAATAGGTTTTACGTGGAATTGACAACAAAATAAAGCCACATAGAGAATTCGATTAAAGTGATAAATGTCAGAGATCAAACAGATATTAAAAATTAGCTTCTTTGAAGCCCCTTGTGGCTTGATGCCATAATGGGTTTGGCAAACAAGCCTAATGTTTTAAAAATTAAACTTTTTTTATTACTTAAATGTTTTCTAGTTAAATAATTAACGCAGTCGATTCAAATGTTTTTTTAGTAACCCGTTACTAACATTTAGCCATATTTCGTCCAAATAAACAAACGTTGTTTTGTTCTGATCATATCTGGAGACGACAACTCACACTGGATGGACTGAAAGGAACAATTCTTTTGTGGACACAAATACGGGTGTTTTCGACATTGTGTGTCCTTTGTATTGTTATAAATTGACTACCACAAATTAGCTTCATAGATTATTTTCGTACAAAGGAATTTTATTTTTAACTATTCATAAAACTGTTGATGATACCAAATGGTTCAGGCTAAAAATAAAAAAAAAATATTCATTATGTTTTTGTTTAATAGGGATAAATAAAAATAAAAAATAAACTATGGTTTCAGGTGAATGGCGAATGGGGTCTTCCTGCTTTTGCCTGTGATTTCTACATTGCGATGGACGTCACTTGTAGCACATCTTCAATTTTCAACCTTGTGGCCATAAGCATAGACAGGTATTTTATACATTTAAACAAGTGTTATGACATTTATCAAGTTAATCCAAATTCATAACTTAGAACTATTTACAGGAAGTATCTTGAATCATAAATATTTAACCATGAGTATGTACTTCTTGATCAAATATATAAATTAGTTTATAAAATCGGGTTTTTTGTAATACCATTGAACACGAACTGTCAATATTCTAAAATATACAACATTTTTATCCTATACGGTACGGATTACAAATATGTATTTATTCAATCTTTTAAATGGTTATTAAAAACAAATAATTTTGATGTTGCCTATACATTAAAAGCAAGACGAAATTGAACATTCAATTGACTTTATTTATATGTATGAACTATTCTATATATATATATTCTATATATATTCTATATATATAAATAACTATTTAAATCGTTTAATGGCAGATTAATTTCATGTTTAAAACATATAACCACACAAAAGTGAAAAGACCCCGATTGAGTTTCACATCATTGAACAAGGATTATCGTATAACACTCCCGTGAAATATACAGTCATTTAGACTAAGAGTATTGAGCAATTTTAAATCGTTTTCTATGATTTGTAAATGTTACCAAACTTAATAGAATAATTTCATCCATCCTTATCACTAAAAATTCTTTACAACTAAATTTTCACTTAAAGAAAGTCAAATTTAAAGTAGCACCCGTAAAAGTACAAATTCGGGATTGCAAACCCGTACATAATCAACGCAGTAATGGTCAATAGATGTAATGCAACATATATTTTTATATTCAAGTTAATTTTATAAATTTTCAATATAGATTGCTTGTCTACATGAAAATGTTAGGTAAATTTTGAATCAGTGAATGTCTACCAAAAAGCGAATTCAATCTTAGCAAAAAATTATAATACCTCTTGTACAAATCAAACACCTCAAGCAATGCTCGGTGTCCTGGTACTAATATTTTATATGATATGATACGTTATATTTTTATGTAGTTTTTGTTTTATTGTTCCTATTAAGAAAATTATCCGTCTTAGAACTGTAAATAAAAAAATAAAGGTAATTTCTTTATTTAGACTTTATATTTACACTTAATTTGCCTTTTACCGTGATTATCCTTTAAAGGTTTACTAAAAAGTGTTATATTTCAAAGGTACATAGCGGTCACACAACCCATAAAGTACGCCAAGCAGAAGAACAACAGCAGAGCGTGGTTGTTGATCGTGTTAGTGTGGGTGGTCAGTATAGCCATCGGAAGCCCCATCGTCCTGGGTCTAAACTACACACCGAACAGGATCCCAGGACTTTGTATCTTCTACAATACAGACTTCATCATCTACTCATCTTTATCATCCTTCTACATTCCCTGTGTGGTCATGGTCTATCTGTACTATAGTATTTTTAAGGTATGTAGTCTAGTTTTGATTATTAGTAATGTTTAACTTTTATGTAGGTTTCTATTTGAAAAAAGGAAAATTGAAAGTAATTTTATGACGCCAACAAAAGTAAACAGGTTTATGAAATAAAGTATAACTGAAAAACATACTATATCTAACAGAAAAGTTAAACGCACCCAGTAATAAGTAAAAGGTGTATAGCTGCATGAAATAAGCCTACGTGAACCTCAATGGACTGAACGTTCGTACACTTATAGAGTTGTTGATTTGAGAAAATGTTTAATTTCAAGATCTTTTGTTGTTTGTCACGTTCGTATTGTACTGTTTAATAACAACAGTATTGCCCCATTAGTATTGCCACATACATTATGGGTGGATATAATACTCTTTAATTCCGTATTGCTGATAGTTAATATAAAATAAATGTAAATGTCTTGTAATTGAATAAGTAATGTATACTGTTATCTTTGTAGATGTTAAGGTATTGTAGGCGAAGAACTCAAAATGGGAGGGGGGTTGGGGTGTAATATACATACTACACCTATTTTGGATTTTGGTTACTAATTTATAACATCTCCGGTTTTATTATTATAATTTAAATTTTTATTTTTTGTGATTTGACCGATAAAATATCTTCACAGTAACATACAAACCTAACACAAGACGGACTCAACGAGATGTTATTGTAAAAAAAAAAACAAAAAAAACATTTACCAGTCACTTATAATCACACTAAGACTAATCTTACATGTATTTCCAGGCTTTACGAAATAGAGCGAAAAAACAAAAGGCTGCTCGAAAACCCCCAGTTGACATGAAGCCTGGAATCGTGATAGAAAACGTAGCCCAGACACGAAGACTGGCAGAAACATCGATGGTAGCGTCGGCTTTGGTACCCACTACCAGTATAGACGACGGACCCACCAATACGGGCAGTGGTAGTCAGGTAGGTTGTGATTGAAAAGCTGTCGACAATATTTATCAAAACCAAGATTAAGTCAAAGAGATTATTTTTTTCTGTTGCAAATGTTGCAGACTGTAGAGTTGTGACTCTTATATGATATTTTTTTATACAACACATTTCAGTAGTTGTAAATTATTATTTATTGGAGTTACGTAAGATGTAAAAAAAATGGGAAAATAGAAATTCCCAGTGTAGACTGGTTACATTTACCAAGCATACGACTTATAATTTAACTTTTAAAATAACATTATTAATAACTTGTGAATAAAATGTATTAAACCTTTTTTTGTTCACTGGAATTTTTAGGTCCACTTAATATTTCAAGTATATTGTTAAGCAAATGGTAGTTAATATAAAAGATTTAATTTTTTATATAAACTACCATTATAATTTTAAATTAATTATTTTATCTTATGACTGTTTAAACTAAACATCTGGAAAGTCATCATTACATCAATTTTATGTAGTTATGTACAGAATTGTGTTCTATATTTGACCTATGATCAGTTTGTCGTATTTTCGAGATTACTAATTATATAGTTTCTAGTAATTTTTTTTTAATGTCCCTTATTGTTGAACAGCATCGTTCACATTTCCAAGCTATGATATATGTTTTTTACAATACCTTATTTTCATCCATTTCAATAGGATGAGGACGACGAGGGCGAGCGGTCACCAGGCTCAGAAGATTGTCACGTGATTCCCAACGACAAGTCTACAGAGTTCATTTTGGCCACAGTCATAGAGGAGACTGCGTAAGACATTAATAATTGATACTTTAACTTTAACTGTATTGAGCTTACGGTAAAATAAGCAATTCACACTGCACTTCGCACAATTGCTTTGAAAATAAGAGATCACTAAGGTTTATAACTAACAAGTACTTTTTTTAATTTCTCATTTAGACAGAACTGTATTTATAAATGCTAAATAGATCGTACAAATTGACAGTTATAAACGTATTCAGTTATAAGACCTTGTAAATTAGAAGAATATGTATTGTGATATGGAATAAACTTTCTCTACTCTCCTCAGGCTTGCATAAACACATGGGAAAGTAGCTTTAACAGAAATCCGGATCTGTATATATATTTAAGTTAGTCAGGAGTTGGATTATTGTTAAATAATACAACCAAATTAAACTCAAAGAACTGCCTTTGTATTATTTCTAATTAATAAACCAACACTATTGATGTACATATCCACTTTAAAAAAGACGTATAAACGTCCTGGAGCCTAAACTCTGAATATCCCCCAAAAAATCTAATAAATCTAAAATATAAATTATCTGTACAAATTTCCTCACAAAATCTACTCAACGACCAATAAATTGCCTGAACCAATTAACATTCCCTTATTAGTATCAACAAATTAACCAATTCCCTCTTCAACTCTATAACCCTTTAAACAGGACATTCCCATACAAACTTCCCGCAAAAGTGGCCTAACCTTAAGACAGAGTAGCCAGTTCACCCAACACAGTAAGTACTAGGCAATAAGCACCCTGCCCGGCCCACTTACCTTTTTCCCTATCTCACGTTACATATTTATTAAGATCGACTGCTACTGAGCACAAATACCTCAATTAAATGATTAATTAAAAATTATTTATTCCACCAAAACACAATAATTGTTACACGGAGTTGTACAAACAGATACATTACTCCCCACATAGGCATAGCATATCCTGTGTGTGAGGAATGAGCTTCACCAGTAGTCAAACTAACATCTAATTTCATAGAAAAACTAATTAATAAAAAAAAATATTATTTTACATACTTTTGGAAAAATGAGAAAGATTGCAAATTGAGCTAATACAAATAAAACACTAAAAAAATGTATAAACCACAAGAGGAAATAGGCGAATCAAAAATGCCCATGTTCTACGCAATGATTTTATAAACATCTCAAGCACACTTCCTAGCAGCATCGCCAACCAAATGCCATCAACCTAGCTAGCCTAGCCTTCCCTTGATTGCAGTACGTATATGTAAATGTTATGCCATATTTATGAATATTTTCCGTTTCCATCTATTTGTCGTCACTAAACAGTTTATGTCTCCATGATCCATCCTGACTTGAAACGAATCTGTCATACCAACCAGTTTGTAGCCGAACTGCTATAACAGCTAATAACGAAATGAAGGGGTGAGAAGCCAAGGGGTACAAGTGACTCGAATTTCATTTTGAGAAAATTAGGTTTAAAGTTTAATTGATATAATCAAATCTAGGCACATTTTAGTTTAGTTAGTTTAATATAGTTTTATTTTCAGGTATTTCAAAATTCAGAAAAACACATTTTTATACTGGTTTTGATTTGACTCTTTGTGTTATCGGCTACTATCTGATAAGAGGTGTCACTTGTACCCCTTGTCTTCTAAATGGAAATGGAATAATCTAAGAGCACAAGTTGTTAAATCAAATGAAAATCAAATTTAATTACAAAAAGTAAGCGCCTGTCATACATATCAGTCAGAATCACTGTCGTAAACGTTTTCTAGTTCTACATTGTCTTCTTCATGCTGTTCATCACAAGTCTGCTCTCTTGGTTGGCCCTGTCTTGTCAGAGGATTCCCTTCGTAGTCTAGAGACCTATAGAATCGGTGGTGGATTGGAGGTACAAATTGCAGCAGATTAAGAAGGTCTTTGAACTTAGATGCCTTTATTTTCTTTTTGTTGGTTTTTTGAGCCAAAGATGGTAGTTGGGTCGGAATCCTGCCTGGGTTCTTCGCTAGCAGACTGTACTCTGAAAACGGCATGTCTTTATTAAAAGTGTTTTTGTAGAACAAAGTCCAAGGATTGTCCTTTCTAAACTGCAACCACTGCATTTTACTTATCCCAGTCACAGATTTCACAAAATACTTGTAAATGGTATCCAGGGATACAAAGTCTTCATCTGACATCTTTTTTACCATGAACTTTTTGCTTGCTCCCGCAATGATCTCCACCCAATCATCTGGAACAAAAACGCCTCTCTTCATGTTCTTTTTCATAATTTCCACCTTACCGAAGTCCCTGTCACAGTCGTTGTACGAGTGGCCAGTACGTAGAAACTTTAAATCAATGGTCTTCAGGTTACTAGTATTAACTACATACGCCCAAAATTTTACTGTTATGTGACTCTTATTTTGCCCCCCACAGTTATCACTGAAAGCTGTCAAGTGGGTGACAGTTGGAGGCAACGATTTTATGTACTGCAGTACACAGGACACAATTTCTTCACACCCTCTAGACGCTTGTGCTTCATGCCACATGAACATGAACGCATTATCTGTACCAATATCATGTACGTTGAAATTGTAGGTCCAAAGTTGACGAGAGTAGTATATTCTTGTGCACGTTAGTATTGGGGTGGGCAACATTTTCTGGAGGTCAAAACAAATCGCAACATGGGTTGGGTCATCTTTCACCTCTTTTTTTGCATTTTCCATTTCACTTTTAGCACTTTCAGCCTGACGGAGGTGCACTTCTTTGGCTGTAATAGCAGCTTGTTTTGCTTCCTCATTCCCATGTTCGATGGTGTTTTGTAGTTTGTCACATGTATTACATGTGTCAACATGTGGTCGATGAAAAGCAAAGTTAAAACAGGTATTGAAAATGTGCCTGTAATAAGACAAAGTAGTAGGTTCCATGCCCCTTTCTGCACAGAAAAGTTTATAGCATTCATATAACTTTTTTATGTTTAAGTTACTATCAAGATATTTTCTGTTTGGAGCTTGCTGTCTTGAATAATGACTAGTGTATTTTGGAAACATTGCAATATGCTCCTTGACTAAGTCTGTTTTTGCCTGTGCAGTTTTATTGGAAGGAATTTTACGGCCTCTCTTGTCTCGAGGTGAAATTCCTGTTTGAGACATTTTTTTCTTAGTAGCAACATTAGTAACTCGCTTATTTGACACATCTAGTGTCTTTAAAAAGAATTCTTTACAAACCCTGACATTTCCTAAATGATATTGACACGAAAAGGACTTCCCACGGGCTGCATTATCTTTCTTTCTAGTAGGATCCCCTATATTAACAGCAGAGTTAAAAAAAGAAGACTGTAGTTCCCAGTTCCCCAACCCCCAGAACTGATCAAAATATTCTTGTCTCTTTTCCTCATTAACTTTTTCATTACACTTGTATCGACATTGATGGTTGTAAGGCGTAACCTGCTTTTTTTGGTGTAGTATACCTTTCCGGTCAATGTATTCTTGCCCCAAATTTCGTAGACTTGAAGATTTAGTCCTTTTCCACGTCTCGGTTCGTCTAGTCCTTTTTCTTCCAGGGTGCTTGGTCCGCTTTGGAGGGGGTTCTTCTTCCACTGTCTCATGAGCCCGTTCATCTTCCTCTACTTCCTGGGTCCCTCCTTCTCTGACTCTACCTAAAATATAAAAAAACATCAGTTTCTGACAGTAAAATTAAATAACAATATCAATAGAATCATGTATTAGTTATTAAATGGCATGATGAAACACACCTATGGAAACAGTGTTTATTTTTTACTTTAAGCTCCTTAAGAGGTACCAGGAGTGGATAAACATACCATACAAGAAACGATAAAATTTATCTGAAAAATCTTGTCATAAGTTTTTATTTCAAGCGAAATAGTATATTTTTTCATTACTAGGACCGAAAGTGGCATTTTCCGTAGCACGCTCAAGTTTTTGTTTGAGGCGAAGCCGAACACAGGGAACCCCAATTTCACGTGCGAGGCCGAGTATGTGAGGGCTATTTTCACGTACGAGGCGAAGCCGAGGACGGGAATGATGGAGCAAGTGCCGGATAATAACTTTCGGTACAAGTTATGAACGATACTTTTCATCACGACGAAAAAATACAAGAACAGAATAGCAGACCTCAGTAATATTACAACTATTTTATTTCTCAATTAATTTGATTGAACATAAAAATAATATAAAATCTTCTAAAAGGAAACTTACGTCAATTTTTGATTAATTTTTAAAACCAAAAAATAGTAGAAAATATTCTAAAGTTAGCCTACGTATATTTCTCAATGAATTTTTTTACATCAAAATAAGAGAATAAAACAACGTTTAACAATAAACATAGCTGATTCAAATCATTAAATTAAACCGTAACAAAACACTAGCGCGAGTAGTAAATAAATGGAGAACTAATTGTTATTATCGAAAATAGTTACTTTCGTTAAGTAGTGATGGAAAAAGTTTTCCATCGATAAACTTTCTTTCTTCGCTTTATTAACCACAAAACTAACTATTATTTCCTAACTAATCTCCAAACCAACTAATGAGAGTTGGAAATATTCTATGCTCACCATCTTCAGAACTGTCGCCTGAGTCTTCATTGTGAGGATTGAAGTCAGGATCCATATCACTGTCATCTAGAAATAAAACCCAGTATGTAATAAAGATAAGATAACTATTTCAAAACAAAATAATTATAAGACTGAATCTGGAATGAAAACATAACCTAAGAATTGCAAAGAACAGTTTCATATTTCAAAAGCACAGACTAGGTAAATTATTAAAAATAATAATTGTAACGTATTTTAGGAACTATCTAGAACCCATCAAAGTAATAAACTTACCTCCAAAAAGGCTTGGAAGACTGTCTTCTGACATTGTCTGCAGTTACATTCAATGAGCATAACAAACAAAACACAATTCTGAACAAAATGTCTGCAGGCAGTTGGATGCCAAGGGATACAAGTGACTTAAGTCACTTGTATCCCTTGGCTCCTCACTGAAACAGCTGTTGATGGAAGTAGTTATTCATTTTGCCACTAGATCTCAGCACCTGATAGAGATTCACTTGTCACTGTTGGCCACTAACATTTCTAATACATTAAGGATATGGTTTCTGCAGTTAACCCAGAAAAAATAAAAATGTCACTTGTACCCCTTGGCTTCTCACCCCTTCAAATAATGTAAGATTGGTATTTACATAGCATAATCCTACTGGGGTGGGTGAACTGGTGTAGTGGTGGAGTGCGGGACTTCAGTCCCAGTGGTTCTGGGTTCAAATCCTGCCAATCAACAGTGGGTTTCATCCAAGTGATAATTCCGCAACCCTTCTAAACCTAGCCTGAAGTAACGTGGAAAATAATTCCTGGATGAACCTAGAGGAATTCCAAATTTTATCGGAGAAGCTAAAATATATTTAGCATATTATTATGTTTACAACTAAAATTCAATGAGCCTCTTTCACAGGGCGGTTGGCGCATTGACTGCCAAACCTCTAGATGAGAAAGGTAACAACGACTCGGGGTACGCAGCCTCTCAGCTGGAAGATATTGCTGTTCCTGGGAGTCCTCCGACAAGTCCACACCATGTGGGGGCTGCCGCTGACACTAGTAAAGTGAGTACAATATATTATAAGTACATTATAAGTAGTCCCTGAAACTTTATCGGTATTTTCAGTTAGGCAGAGGGTAACAGTAAACAAAAGTTACGAAAAGAGATTAAAATAGGGTGTTCAACCAAAAGGTAAACGAATTTTTACTAATATACCAGACAAATCGAACAAGGTTAACGTGAAACTTACAAGCTGCAACACACACCTTCATCTAAGTGAAAATCTTACTTTAGGCCGACCAATAAGAAATAAGGTAGAATATTAACATAATGTTTGGTTTGATTTAAATTATTTTTATATATAGAAACAAATCTTCTTAATGACTGTTAGTCTTTTGCAATATGTAAATAAAATAAGTAACACAAGAGAATGGTTGTAAATTGTAAATTGAATAAAGTTGATTTATAACCCACAAGCATTCATTCAATCTAATATCCATGAATAATCACTACCCACCTTTTGAAATTTTAAACCACGCTAGTAAAGATTTTTTGTCAATTATTTATAATTTTGTTTCATTGCCATTTTTCTTTTAACTATACAGAATCAAATGAGACTATTTTTTTTTTTTACTTATATAACTGTAGAGTGGTGATTACCTCTATTGATTCGACTTGTTTGTATTTACCATGCTTTAGTAGACAATATTGATGTACGTATATTATGCCAAATGTTCGAATGAGCTCCGAGAGCAATAAATAATTACTAACAAATAAGTTTGTGAAATTAAGATGAGCATTCTGATGCACCTCTTAACAACAGTAAACCTCGAGATATTTAGGTTGAAAATTTCGTAATAAAATATACATAACATATTTATAAACAGCCGTAGTCATTTTATATCTATCTCTGAATATTTTCTTACATTTAGACTGTTTCAAAATTATATTTTCTTCTTATGATTTTCCTAATGTGAATTTTGACATAGATTCCTAATACATATTTTTTCCAATAACCAGGGACGAAAAAAATTTTTAAACTAGAATATTATGTTCTTGTTGAATTTACTGTGAATGAAACAAGTTCGCTACAGCTTGGATTGGCATGTCTACGTATACGTGAATAAAGGTCATTCTAACACTTTAAAACACATCAAATTACATAAAAAACTAAAGTAGTAAACATTCTTATATTTCCAGAGTCAGATTGCAACAGTGTCATCTGCTGCTGTGACGTCATCAGCACCCAGACGAAACGAACCAACCCCAGCACCGGAGAGTGGTCCTCCCTCATCGTCAACCAAACGGACATTATCTGCTAGTATAAGGACGTCCTCGGAGGACGAGGGTTCGGGGTCCAAGAAGGAACGAAAGGCTACAGCTGGTTCCAGGTTTACTATATACAAAGTGAACAAGGCCAGCCGTAAAAAGCGGGAAAAGTCTTCCGCAAAGAAGGAACGGAAAGCAACGAAAACATTAGCTATAGTTTTAGGTAATGTTGAACACAAATGCTTATTAGTTTGTAAGTATTTTAAAATATAAGAATCCTTTGATAACAGATAAATCCGGATGTTTGGCACGGTTCGATAAGATTTTGTCAAATGAAAAGAATTTTGAATTTAGTTTGTGGTAGAAAAACAATCTAAGGTGGAAAATATGGATTGAATTAAAAGTGTAATTTTACAAATAACCTCTAACCAAAAGTAATGGATGTAATATTACTCCCTTGTTTTATTATAATGTAAGTTAACCAAGCTGAAAAAAGTAAACCATCCAATCCGTTGTATTTAGTAAAACCGAACTGCTATAACAGCTAATAACGAAATAATGTATGATTCGTATTACTGATTGGTAAAACTTTTGTTCAATCCTAACGATTGCCTAAGACATCCATCGAAAGAAAAAAGGATTAAAGATTTTACCAAATTTAATTCATTATTACGTACTTAAAGACGTCCTACATAGTCATGGTTACCATGGGTACCATGTGTAGTCATGGTTACGGCCTATGAGGCTATGTGATAAATATGAGGCTATGCTACGTACGATTATATAAAATTTTTAAATGCAATAAGAGAAACTAGTCGATCGTTCAACACACATTCAATTTATGTTTTTGTGGGTGTTTTTAACATGTCCATTGATTTAGTTTGTTAGAATTAAAGCTTGAAATTTTCAGCTTTTTTAACCGTGTCAAAAATTACAGTGCGTTTTGGGGGTTGATAAAAAGAATAGCCACATATAGCGATGGTTTAGCAGCGTCTTGGCGCATAAGACAGACATTGTTTGTTCGATACCGTCCACCGCACTAAGTTATCACTGCAGTCTTCCCTCGTTTGCCGATTTGATTTATCTCCTAAAAATACGTTAAGCCTTTAGTTCACCGCACCGACATATAGGTTTTTATGGATGGAGTATTTAAGTAATTTAGAAAATAAGCAATGGTTTATTTTAGTTAGTTCTCAAAATAACGTTCTTGGTTCATGATAAGTTTCATACGGAAGGATTATGATAATCTTTTTTATATAAATAATATAAAAACAAAATTTGCTTTCATTGTTTTTTTTATAGTTTAACATTCAGTTCTTATCCATGGATATTTATTTATTTATTCAATGAATTGTGCTTAGCAATGTTAAAGAACAATTGCAATCATCAACTAGGACAAATATGCTGAAAAGTTGATCCTTAAATACATTTAAATGATAAAAAACCATTACTTATGGATCTAATCAAAACTATTTGGTACTTTTAATATATTTTGGGTTTAGAATGATTAAATTGTTTATATAATTTAACTTACCTGACTTTTATAGCAGTGAAATAATTTACAAATAATTAACATGAACTAATAAAGGAGTGTAAGTATTTAATCGTTCTGTTCAATACGATTAAACCTATGTAAATTCTATTAAAGTGATAGTGTAATTTTACAAATAGGCCAAATTTGATTAATAAACTTAATTTACAAAGGTGCAGGTAAATTTTCTCTTAAATGCACGCAGATTTTTTACCCTTGGATATAATAGGCTCTAGCCTCTAAATGTATGTGTCAAACCTTCTATATTTCACTTCAATACGACAAAACAACAGCTAAAAGTTGAATCAATGTGTTACACGTGTTCTAAATACAAAAGTTATATTCATAAGCTTACCATCGGACACTGCACTTTTTTGTCCTAAGACGCTAGGCATCAGTCCGGGATCTTAAATAATAGATCAAATTAATTTATTGTTTTTCAAATTACTTCAGGCTAGACCAAGAATTGTGGCTTTATAACGCAGATCAAATTCCTTTGGTGATTTGGCAGGATTTGAATCCGGGACCTTGGATATCGAAGGCCCATGCTATAACCACTAGACCAGCTCTTTTCCCCAACCTAGTCTTCTGTCGCTGGACTAAGCATTACTAATCAACCCCGGCTTTTCCACAGGTGTGTTTTTGTTCTGCTGGGTGCCATTTTTCACCTGCAACGTGATGGATGCTGTCTGTACCAAGCTGGAAGCGTCTTGTACACCTTCCCTGACTGCCTTCCTCATCACCACCTGGCTAGGCTACATGAACAGTTTCGTCAATCCTGTGATATACACAATCTTCAACCCAGAATTCCGCAAAGCCTTCAAAAAAATAATGATGATAGGCACGTGATCTTCACTTGAGAATACACTGATTGTAAAACTCTGCAAGAAATACAGATTTGTATTGCACTTGTAGGTTCGCTAAGGTAATATTTCTAGGACGTTTTATTGAAATGTATAAATACCGAAATGTATTTTTTATTTCAGGTTTCAAAGAATACACATTAAATGAAAAAGAAAGTTGTATACATTAATTTGTATAGATTATAAAAATACAACTACTCTTGAATGGTGACTTATTCTAAAACATAATGCTGCTTTTCATAGGTATATAAAATTCAAACTTTTGGGAATTAAACACTATTTTTTAGATTTGTTTCTATTTACTAACTGAAACGAAAAAGGGCTCGATTTCTGTATTTTATCAACTACCCAACAATAAACAATGTGTAATGCTTCAGTTTGTTATAATTTATATCGAATGGATGGAATAGCTATATGATTGGTGTGCCCCCAATGATTGGTGTTATGATTTCTTAGACCAAATTTTAGTTAAACAAAAAGAAAAATTTAATAACAAATTATATTTGCATGTTTCTTTTTCAAATATCACCATGGTCATGTGTTACCCAATTTAAAATTGAAAGAAATTGTTTAAGGTCTTATTATTTTTGTAGTCACAAAAATTTTTGTATATAAAAAAATTTTAGTTTTATAACAATCAGTTTTTTTACAAGTAAGCTATTCCCAATAATGTATTTTAGTGACATAATTTGAGTTGTAATTGCATATAATTCATCATTCAGGGATAGGGACTATCGATATTCTAAATTTTCTATTGCTTTTCAGGAATAAGTGTTTTATATTTTGAGGCGAAATGAGATTTTGACTTTTGTCAAAAATAGTTTAATAAGTGTTACTGCTTTAAACGAGCTACAATGTACATATTTGTTTTTGCCCAGACCTTGTCGTCTTTAAACTTTACCAATGTATATATACTAAAACGCTTAATAGTATATCACATACAAAGACGTTAATTTTAATTTTAAAATATAGTTGGTTACATTTATGTCATGTTACAATATACGTAGTTTATTTCTCTTATGGAGGTTGAATCTGTTTATATAGCCTCACTGAAATATTATACAGGGTCCCAAAATAGTTACCTTTCATCCTAAATGCAATAATGTAAATGCTCATTGTAAATAAACCACGACCAGTAAGGATATTTCATGTAAAACAGTACATGTACATGTTTATAAGAGAGTACAGCTTTATAAATATAGTTTAGGCCTATACAGCATACTTTATTTTGTGGAATATCTACCGTATAAATAATGTCTATAATGTATTATAAGCTATGTATTGTAAATAAATATGCTATGACTTTTTGTAATCAGTTTTCTTTCCCTTTGCTGTTTCAGAGCAACCAAACGTTATAGAAAACCATTTTATTAATAAATTCTGTAAGTTGAATTTAGTTTTTGGTATCATAAATGGGTACTATGTCGACTAGCGTGGAAATAGCTACTTTATTGTGTATCCATTTTTCCTGAATAATGATTAGTGGTCTTTTTTTTGCAGAAAACGGTTTGGACTGCTCCATTTTAACAAATTACAATCAAATAGCGATAAGGTGATGTATCTAAATATTACTATTATTTTAATTATGGTTTTAAATCAGATTTTGCAAGTTCTTGTTAGGTTTTACTAATGTAGTTAATTATTACGGGATTTGACATACAAAATTTCGTTAAATAAAAGACAAGAATCATCCCTAATATAATACAATTGTATCTCTAGACACTTTAATATTTTTGTGAGTATTTTACGCCAAATTTTTAACAGATTGTATAAAAAAACATGTTATGGATAAAAAGGACATAAATTATTTCAATGTTCTCTTACACTATAGAATATAGTTCATAACTTATCAACTAAAATAATACAGGTGATAAATTTATTTCTGGATATGTGACGTTATTTTATTATTTTAACTAGCTTAGGTACCCATCCATTGAATTAAAAGGAGGAGTTAAAAGTGAATCATTAGATAACTTAACTGAGTTAAATTTTTTAGTTATTTGTTTTTAAAGCAATCCAGTAGGTCTAATTCAAGAAAATGCTCACCATTCGGGCGAGTCACATAATAGTTTATGTTTATGATCCAAACCGTTTCTGTTCGAATATTCGTACAGTATTTAATTTGTTCGAGCAAGCTGTATGGAATGCAGCTGTGTTGTTTAAATTCATTTGACAGGTCTGCTTGTTTACATTAAAACTTTGTGGGTTTGTTATTTATTACAGTGGAGACTATCAATCAATGTAATATTTACTTTTAAAACTCCTTTTCAGAAAATTGAAAGCCCACGAGGAAGGGTCCTAGCCCGAAAGGGTCAATATCGAAAGGGCAATCGCTCTAAATATATCTTCGGAGCTGTAGCTTTATTTGTGTGTAATTTGAGCGCAGTTCGTTCAGTAGTTTTTGTGATTAGCGCGTAAACACACACACACACAGACATCACCTCTTCTTTATAATAGTAGGCCTAATTAAGATATATAGATAGATATACCACTACGTAGGCCTACATATAATTGCCTTATATAAAAATACTTAACGATCAGGTATGGTTAAAGAAGACTAAAGCCGTAAATATAACAGTAATTTAATAATAATACATTTTTATAAGTGTTTCAGCTTGTTTAATGCATACAAATGTAATATTCTTGTTGATAGTAATATTTATCATAAATACATTAAACAAATCGCCAATAGCACCATATAACCTTTATTTCACTTGTATATACGACAAACGATGTAATAAACGTAATCAGGTTACTAAAAGCTAACAGTTTCAATTAAACTGGTAGAACGATGCCGTAATTTATATTTCATCTGGATCACAGAGCAAAGAATAATAAGTGATCTGAATGTGTCAAAGTAAAAACAATTTAATACGAGGATTATAAGCGTATTAATATTATAATATATTTTATACATGTTTTGGGGCCACCAAGACCAGGGGTGTTAGGCTTAGCCTGATTTTGGTCAATGGCTAGTAGTTAAAATATTTACCAGTCTTTAGTTAATATTGAAGTTAATATATTACATTGTTGTTTTCATCAAGTCAGTTATTACTTCGTGCTTTCCTCACTGCCAAGCAACCCAAACACTCCTCCAAGATCAAGTAGAGGTTGTAAATATATGATTTATTTTACGTTGAGCTTGAATCTCAGACCAAACTTAGCAACAATGTGGGCTTTAGCTGGACAACTTCTTCTACAACATAGTCTGTCATGGACCTGTGACGACTTATTTTACAACAGAACTACATTCATTGCACAATGGTCTAGTTGAATTCATTGTTTAACTATTCTATAATAAGAATCTTTGTTATTGTATTTGCATTAGCTTTTAGGTCTACTGAGTAGGGATGACGTTTTGTACAGTGAAGGCTTGTGTGTGGCTAAATCGATAGAGACTTTATATTTTAATCTGGATCCGAGGTAGAAGTCATTATAGTAGTTCATAACAAGTGTAGAAAGAGATTCATTAAAATTTGAGACCATATGTTTAGAGTGCAAGACTTATGTAAAGACCCACATTCACTAGTGTTACGAACATCACATTTCGCTACACTACAAATACTTATAATATTTTAATTTAAAATATACATTTTAACAGTTCTTTATTGTAGTTAGGAACAATTCAAATCGAATCTTTTAGGTTAGGTCTTGTATTTGAAGTTCAAATTTACAGGTTACTTTGCAGGTGATTGACATACAACGAAAACATGTGATTTCCAAGTAATGTAGCGGAAATCAAATTACAACTTAAGATTAAGCTAATTACTAAATGAGTGAGACTAAAATACTACAAATAATGCATATCCAAAATTTTCGCGGATATTATAATGTAAAATGTAAACTAAAATGGCAAATGGTCAATAGTAATATAAGTTTTCCTGCATCGGTGTGATTTTCCACATGGGTGGTTTGGTGAAAGTCAATAAACCAAAATATGTAACATCATTCTTCATGCCATAGATCAAACAATGCGGGTTGGGTTTCACAACAACGTTGCTGCTGTTGTAAATAATAAATTAACATGCAACAGTTTTTCCGTTTGAATTGTTTGAATAACAATATGCAAGTGGTTTGTATTTTTCAATATATGAGGTTTTGAATATTTAATATTCTCTCTTGTATGTAGAGTTATGAGTGGAGTATCCGTGACTGGAAATAATCGTATTTTTTTATATTGGCTATTTTTCAATGCTTTAAATTCATCCAAACAAGAAATACTTTTTGTTCGTTATATCCAGGGAACGTATGGCTCGTGTAACATACTACACACAAAATAAAACTAAAGTCAATGTGCATTAATATAATACAACTAATAGTACACATCACTATATTTTTATTGTTTATTTGTAACCATAACTAACTGTCCAATGAACAAAAATACTTCTAGTGAAATGTATAAAAGTTTCTATGTGAATATATTAATACCACTTGCGAATTTAGCTTAGGCCAGTTATAGAGTAGACCTATCGTGTTACAATATACACTCTGATATACGGCTCTGATTAAAATCAGTCTTAAATGTCTGATAGAGATAAATATGTATTTAAAGTAAACTATGTGACACGGAATATTATTACTATAACAAAATATTGTTAGTATAATAGTGAACATAAAAAATTACACGATCCCATTCAAAACTTATTTTGTTATATCTGTGTGTTACTTTATAATTATTAATTTTACATTGCTCCTACTAAAACAATAATTCTGTATCTTAAGAAAATCTATCGTACATTTCCTTATGCTGCATTTACTAATTAATATCATTTAATCATTTGTACAAGTAATAATAAAAAACAAAGATAAAATGTAATATGTTCATGTTAAAGTTTTCATATTAAACGTAAAGAAAAGTTTAAGGCATCGCATCGTTATCGTAAGTTAAACCATCTGATCTGGAAAAAGCTGACTAAGAACTTGTGAAAGTTTTAAAAGTAATTTTTGTAATCAATTTCGTTTTATTGATGATATTTTTTTATCAATTCTTTGAAATATATTTGTTTTGTAAAATACGAGATAGTGGACTGTTAAAATTGGTTTTACACCTGGGGTTTTAACTGGTTTCTTATGGATTCAAATTAAGGTACCCAGAAAAATCCATATTATTTTGAAAACACGGAATCCTTGAGATCCTAATGGACGTAATAGCGGATGCTCGGACCCTAAGCAAACACCTTAGGTCGAATATTATTTTCATCGCCATATTTGTTAAGGTTGTAAAACCAAACTTTAAGAAAGTACTTACATTTAAAAAATTCTTTGTAAATGTAGAATATTAGGTTCCATACAAGTACACAGGTAGTCAGTTACGACAAAGACTTCTTCACCAACCCTATAGAAAGAGTTTATGGTCCAATCACGAGAAATGGGATAACCAATCGACTGTGACTAAGTCATAATGACCCGAGCCACCTTAGAAGTCTCGGAGATTATTTCTTTCAATTTCTTTTATGACATATAAAAACACTACATACAATTAATATCTGTATAATATTGGTAAACAGTAATTGTTTTGATAATATTCTTAATTATTATTGT